TGCCCAGGCAACTTGTCCTTTAACTGTAAATGGCGGTGTTTTGGTTTTCAATGTTGTTTTCTCTCCCCTGTGTTAGCAGGCTGCCCTCCCGATGGATGGGCCCCTCTGCTTTGTCTTCTCAAAGAATGTGTAAGATGAACTCCAGCTAACTGGCTCCTGACAACCCCAGACTCCAGGCCTTGGTTCTCCATTAATTTCTATTGCTGTCAACTCCATTTCTTCTTGAAAAAGTTGTAAGAATCACAAGCATAATTTTGCATGTGAAATTACTAGTAGGAAGCAGTGCCTGGGAAAAAGGAAGGCAGAAGTAGAGAGAGGCGTTTGAAAAATTGGGGGGTGGGGGGAGGTCTGAAATGTGCTCTCTCCTGCTGCATAATTTTAATGAGCCCGTGCAAATACTGCTGCAACACTTGCGGTAGTGTAGGCGCCAGAAGCATTATTGCCCCTCACTTTAGCTAAAGAATCCATTGCTGCACTCACGTCAACAGACAGAGCAGTGAGAGGTAACCCTAGTTCTTGCTGTTTTTACACGGGTTGTCCAGAATACAGGACTTCAGTGGAAGTAGTGGAGATACTGTGCCTTCCAGACAGGAATGCAGCAGAAAGGAATATTCATCAACTAGTGCAATTAGTATAGGCTTCTCTTGTTGGTTCTCTGCTTTGTAACCAGCCCAGTGTTCTTGAGAAAATCATGGGCTATAATGAATCAAAGCTAGTGTTCTGATATTTTCTACCTTAATCAGTATTTTCCCATGTGTGCAAGAACTTGCATACACACACACACACACACACACACACACACACACACACACACACACAGAGAGAGAGAGAGAGAGGGGGGGGGATAAGCCCTCAGGTTGGCCCATGAGTTTCCAAGAAGTGTTATTCTTTAGTGGGTAAGAGTCCAGTCTCTAGACCTTGAAGAGTGATACAGGCAGCAGTCATTTCATCCTTGGGAAGCTGGTCCAGCCTGAGCTATATGGTGAGTTAGCTTTCTGCCTGAGCTACGTAGTGAGATTCTATCTTGATAACAAAAACAGATCAAACAAACAAGAAACTTAGACACTAGTCCCTTGAATAAACGAGTTTGTGGGGAAATCATTTATTCTTTGAGTCTTATTATTCCCCTCAGAAGAAAAATAGCCATAAAGCACCTTGCCAGCTTGGTCCGATTAGTACATTGGTATCATTTTAGGAGACTTGCCTGCAGAGAGGAGCCTTTCTGTTGCTCAGGTTCTTCCTCCAAAGTGCACCGCATTATAACTGCTTCCTAGACCCCTCTCCTCTGCTTTGCTTTGCCAGCCAGGCACAAGCCTCCTGGCTCTGGGTCAGTGGAGGCTTGGTTATTCGCCAGCCTGTGAGGATTCCCCAAGAGCACCATGTCAGAGGCGCTAATGAGTCTCTGCTTAACTGTGACTGTGTGCTCCCCAACAATCAGGACAGAGAGAAACACCTTGCAAAACAATTAGCTTTACACAGCCATTAGCAATTTGCAGTCATTAGCACCAAAGAAACAGCAAATAACACTCAAGAAGCAAACAGCGCTGAGAGTCACAACAGGGCTTGTGAAGATGGGGTGCCCAGTAGGTCTGTGGATGAGAGCGGGTTCCCTGTGCCCACCCACTCCAGCCAACAGCACTCTCGATTCCTTCCATTCTCTCTGTGTAAAGGGCCCACAATTTGTTTCGGTGAAGTGTACATTTTTCCAGAGAAGGCGTTCTGAGGATGTAGTGCATAATAAAGCAATTCCGAATTCCCTCAAAGACCAAGAAATCCAAACAAGACCAGGAGGAGTGCTGAGAAAAATGGAAATTTAAGTTGAGTGGAGCTCCTGTGAGATGCAATGATTTAGCACCACAGCTCTCCACAGCGGCACTGCTAAATACTGGAGCCATGTATATCCTTCCCAACAGAGGATGGTAAAATAATTGTGCCTTCCCCATTCCGTGAAATATAAGGACACCTTTAAAAACAGCATGTTAGGACTACAGATAGGCTGTATTAGAAAAGGTTATAAAGCACTAACAAATTATTCCATTTTTAGATACACACTAAATATCAACCATGATAACCTGGGTACTGTGGACATGAAGGTCTATTAATTTTATTCTCAAACTGTGTGGTGGTAATCTAATTGTACTGAAATGTGATTTTGATTGTATGTTAATAAATAAAGTTGTCCGGGGGTCAGAGCTATTAGAGCCATAGACAGAG